GCCAAATGTTTAAGGAAAAAGTTAAGATTACTTGTGTTGCTGAGGGCAAGGTGCACTAGGCAGAATACTTGCAGGCACAACTGCAACCAGCTTTCAGTCTTAGTTAACAGTAAGGTTTACATAAGGGCACACAGCTCTCTTTCTGTGTAGTTTGGCATTCTGTGCTTTTTATCATAGCAATCTTTTCATGGAGAAGAGAGAGAACATCACCACAGATCTCCTTTATTTACAGATGCATAAAAATCCTGTAGCAACTACAGAAATTAACAGAATACAGGAAAATATTAAATATTTCCAATGCTCTATTCTAAACATGACACAGAAGCAGGAAACCAGTAACAACTCCTGGCTGGGCCACTGTAAGCAAGCTGAAACCACATGAGAGAAACTCTGCAGTTGATTTTTACATAGGAGTAAACTGAGGTAAAGAAAATGTCATGCAATAGTTGAGTTTCTTCCAAACCTGGTGGCTTCAGTGTGAAATGAGGGAGCTCTGTCCTTCACTAGAGGTGCCATTAAACACACGAGAGGCCCGTACCAATTGTGTGTCTGATAGAAGAGAGATGAAAACAGAATCCATGTTCTGCTTTAGCTGCTAAATTGGTATCTCACCCACGATGACTCAGAGCATTCAGTGTGCACTGATGCATTCAACAGCAAGATCCAGTAAACAAGAGGAGATCTCCCCATCGTTCACTGACGGAGGCTGAGCCCCCACATGCTCACCAGTTTCCAAATCCGCAGTCCATCACAGCCTCCAGCAGTGCCATTTCCTCCTGAGCTGTCCAGTTAGGATCCAAGACAGGGAAATCTGAAGTCTGGAGGAAAGAAAAGCAGCAGATCAAACTGCTGTGATTCTCAGTTATAATCCACCATACGAAGAAAAGAAGAAGCTGCAGGCTACAGGGCGACGCAGCACAAAGTACTGGCTGTTTTTCAGTTCTACTGTGTCATGAATCCTGATAATTGTCAGATTACTGAAGTCACTGGTCCATCAATTGCAGTAAATACCAGTTTGTCACTACAGATCTCAGTATGCTGCCACACGTGCTCTCTGCCACTTGTAATTTAACGTTATGCCACAAAACAGTAAAAATTGCCAAAAACTTTTTAAGCAATTCATTTCTGGGGAGGACAACAACTGAGAAACTGAAATTAACTGACATGGTTAAAGAATTGGAAAGTCTAGGAGATGCACTGTGCTATCCAGGCAGAAGGAAAAACATAACAGAAGCATCTCCACTATTCCATTATGTGGATGGACATTTTTCTTTCCTCACAAGGAAGAGTTTTTCGTTTATTTAATAGTCTAAACTTATGAATCCAAGAACTGTGCCAGTTACTGTTTTATGTGCTGTTATTAAGCAAGGTCTGGGAAATATGAGAGCTCGGGATTGGGTAGGTGTAACCCAAAAGGAATATTTACCATTATCTCGTAAGTGTGATCACTTTGGTGTTTCTTGTATTCAAATCCTCGTGTGAAACACTGCAGAACAAAAGAGGAGCATTATGTTACTCTCTTCTGCACTGAAAACATTGTGACTGGCTTCTTTTTTCCCTTTATTCTCTGACCATCACTTACCCACCTTGATAAAAACTGACCACCTGACATGCTGAAAATGGTATTTATTTTTTCTGATTTCATTTTAGAAAAAATGTGTAACAGCAGTTACAACAATTTGTGTTATAACTTTGAAGCTGTGCAGTATTCTGGTCTTTTACACTAAGATGTAACTCGTGTGCACCTCCACGCTTTCTGTTAGGTATTTATAGCCAAGTTAGGCAGGTGAAAGAAGCTTGGTGCCATGTTATGTGCCGTTCCTGGAATTCTGAGCATTCTGCATGTATTGAAAGAGTGGTTTCCTTTTGGAGCTTTGAGAAAGCTCCCTTTTCAGTATTAGAAGTCGTTGCTGTTTTTTAGTCATAAATAATTAAAACTAACGATCCTTTCTGCAGTGATCTGATCACATACACAATTTGTAAATAACTTTAATCTGGTCAGAATTATTGTCTATATTGCAAATTTCCCGCTGATTTTCTTTGCCATATGGGAGGTAAAAAAAAAAAAAAGGAAAAAAAAGGTGTGAGGACAGGGAGAGGGTGTTTCCTGATGGATTTTCTTTTCTGTGCCATAAAAGTGACAGAAACAATGCCTCTCCAGACGTGCAGGGGCATGCTGTGTTACAGTCAGGCCGACTGCATGTCTTTAGCAAGCTCTGGCTGCCTTCACCCAGGTCTCATTCAGCTGCTCGTGTCTCAGTTCTTCAGCCTCCCACATTTTCTTTGCCATTTCCCTGTCCCTGAGCAAATAAGTGTGTTGATATGAGTTTGCAGAGACCCGTTATTAATGTGTTTATGGAGCAGCCTGGCACCGGACAGCCTTTGATGACTTTCTCAGACAAATGAATGTCTTTGCTTTCATCCTTGCACTCACCTGCAAGCACAGGAGGAAGGGAGGAGGCCCACACTCTGCACACTTCACGTAGGGCTCGGTGAGGTACGAAGAGCAACCTCTGCATGGAGGTTTATCGAAGGGGTCATCTGCAAAGCCAGAAGTAAATCTCATGCAACACAAACGTTGTGCTGCTTTTGCGATCACCCAAATTCACTTTGGGTGTCCAGCAATTTAAAATGAACTCAGCTGTATGCACCTTCTTCCCTATTGATACAAGTTCCCTCCTGAGCTGGAATATTAAGACAGCTATTGGCATTTAAGCTTTGCTATGGACCTGGTACAGAGGGCAAGTTGTGCGATCATGCTGGAGTCAAGGAACAGCTCTGCAGCAGCCGTCTGGTGCTGCTCAACAGGGGTAGCAGCTTTGTGAGCTGGCTGACTTGACTCAGTGCCCAGAGACCCAAGGCTTTATGGAGAATATTGCACAGACAGCAGCACTCTCCCATCCACCCTCCTCGTCTGACTCAAAAAGCACATTGCTGTGGTTGCAAAGGCATTGGTCTGATTGTTCTGTAACCTGTCCAAACCCCGGGCTGCTGAATGAGGAGTGAGACACTGCTCTGCGAGTTCACTGCAAAACAGTCAAAAGACTGTCTTAAGCCATATTTTTTCTAAACTGCAATTTAAGTAGTAAAAAGTGGACAGAAGCAAGGTCTGAACCGCCAGCAATCACTGCTGTCCTCATGCAGCTGAGGGTTTGAGGGATCAGACGTCTCTGCTGCTGTCTCCCTCCCCAGCTCAAACACCTCCCAGCCCTGCGGTACTCACTGCCGAAGGAGGCCAGGCGCTCCATCCTGCGCTGCTCCCTGAAACTCGTGCTGCCCCAAACGCACTGCGTCCAAAGCCGTGTTCTGGGCTGAAATCCTCACAGCATTCTGAGCAGACAGCAGCTGTGATCAGCCTGTCACAGGGACAGAGGTGGGGTCAGCCTCTCGTGGTGCCGGAAAGGTCCGGTTGGGTCTGAGGAATCATTTCTTTAAAGGAGCAGCCAGGTGCTGGCACAGGGAGCTGGGGGTCACCGACCCGCCAGGTGTTCCAGATCCGTGCAGGGATGTGGAGCTGAGGGATGCGGTCAGAGGGCACAGAGGGATGGGAGGGGGACCTTGGAGGTCTTGTGAAACTGAATGATTGTGTGATTCTGAGAGAGGTGCGAAGTGATGGGGACACACCCCGAGGGCCCCAGTAGACAGTGACAGAAGCGATGGCGGCACCGGGAACCTTGGGGCCGTGTTTGCGTCGGGCAGATTCGGGCGCTTTCCTATTGAATCCGACGGGCGGCGCTCAGTGGGGTCCCACACGGGGCCACAGCCTGGAGGACCGTCCTCCCCTCACCGCAAGGCGGCGCCCTCCCCGCCCTCTCCCGAGCCCCCGCCCCCTCCCGAAGCCCCGCCCCCTCGCGAGGCCGCGAGGTGAGCGGCGGGAGCGTGCCGCTGCCCGCCCGCTCCCTTTTCCTGTCCGCCGCACTGTCCATCTCCCCCGCCCCGGATCCGACTCCTCCCCACCGTGGTACGCTCCCGACTTCCCCCTGGCCGCTGCCGGGCCGCGCCCCGCCGCCTCTCACCTCGCGCCGGGGCAGTTCCCGCGCGTCACGGCCCTCGCGCGCCCGCGTAACGGCCGTGCGCGTGCGCCGAGGCGCTGTGCGTGCGCGGCCCCGTGCCGTCCCGCCCCGCCTTTCGGCTGCGAGCAGTGCGCGCGCCCGGCGGGGGGTGCGGAGCTCCGATGTCGGGTTCCCATTTTGGGTACCTGAGGCGGCGGGGTGCTGCTGGCCGCGGGTTCGAGGCCCGCTCTGCCTGAGGGCACGCGGCAGCTCGACTGGAAGGGCCGAGCGCGGCCTGGGGGGTGCACGGGGGCCCGCCCGGCCTCCCTGCAGCCCGGAGCTCGGGGCGATGCCGCAGGTCGCTGTGCCTGCCGGGCACCGGCACTCGAGGACGCGTTACGAGTTTGATTGCGCGTCCCTCGGCGCTGCTCCCGCAGCCGAGGTTCTGCCTGCAGCCCTCTGGGCGCCGGTCCCGTGTCACCTCGGCCCCGTGCAGCAGCCGGCTGCTGCCGCCGTCCATTTTGGGTGCAGCTCGGCGGGCTGTCCCCTCAGCCGTGTGGCGGTGGTTCTGATGGCGGCGCTGCTGGAGGAACGCCCTGTGAGGCCGCAGGTTGCTCCCGTTCAGCCATACGGGTTCTGAAGCGTTTAATCCCTTGCGTGGGAAGCGGAGATGAGAGCTGTTCTCTGGCAGGCGGATGCAGCCTTTGGCAGTTCGTATCTGGGAGGTGAAGATGGCGTGAGATTGAAATGGGGAATAAAGCAGAGATTCAGTCTGTATGAGCGCTGTATGAAACGTGCAGCGCCTCAGACTAAAGCCGGGCAGTGAATATCCACATTGCTGCTGCGAGGCTGGGGAGGAGGAGGTGCTGCTGTCGGATGAGTTCACTGCTCTGAGCTGTTTGCAAAGACCAAAAAACATTGGGACTGATTTATTTTTCCTTCTTCCCAGGCTCTAAGTGAGTGCGTAAAAAAATAAAGAGTTGAGGGAGGCAGAGTTTGGAATGTCAATGAAGTATTTATTGCTTATGCCAACAGGTTTTTCTAGTATCTGGGAATTAAAACATGAATCCAGGTAGTTAATGGAAGGAATTGGCATGTGCGTGTCTTCCCAGCAGCTCATTTTGCAGTGAATTGATGTGATTGCTCCGAACCAGGTAGATGTTGCTTCTTATGTCTGGTTTCAGTCTGCAGCGGTTGAAGCTGTGGTTATTTAAGCTGCTGATGTTCAATCTGCTTTTTCCAGTAAGTGATGAGGAGGAAGACGATGCATTTTTTGTTGGTAAAAGGGTGTTTCGCTAAAGCCTGCATTTCGTAAGTAGGTTTTGTGGATAACAACAATTTGGGATCTTCTCATGTAAGGATCTGGCAAAGGAAGAAAAACTATCATGAGGAATACTAAGCACCCCTCTTCCTAGCGAGCTCCACCAGTGCTCGTGCTTTGTTTTTCAAATCGGTAATTAGTGGAGTGACATCTCCTGGCTGAACTGAACTAAAGGTAGCAGTGACATAAAAAGCCTTCTGCCCTAATTCTGTTTGAATGGTTTTCAGTTTAGGAGAGGCCAAAAGGTGTTACCACCTGATGGCTGTTCAATGGCTCGTGGGAAATGGCTCTTAAGGGTCCCAGTTTAATTTCCTAACCTCCCAACTGTAGCACATTTCTCACAGCGTTGTTACACTCCAGGAAGGTCTAAGTGGATAATTTGTAATGAATAATGTGCTCTCCTTCTGCCTTTTCCTACTCAGAAGTTTTAACAAATGAAGTGATTTTCATTTCTCCCCTCGTTATTTACTGATAATTCCTGCAAGTTAAGTGTTCTTGAGCAGTTTGTTCTGTATGTGCAGTATCTGGAGAGTTTCTTGCCTTCCAGCAGGCTAAGCTCTCCAACCTCAGCGGGAGGGAGCAGAGGGGGAAGGTGACAGACTCCTTCACTGTGAGGAGGGAGTAGAGCATAGCAATTGTACCTCAGTAATTTGCTTAATGGGGTAGGAAGCATAAGATTAAATCATTTCTTCATGAAAAGGCACCTTAAGAGTTCATTTCCAGGGCTGCAGGGATATTTAGGTTTTTTTTTTTTTTTTTTAAGTGGAAGGAAGTCTTCAAACACAGTCACTGTTGCCTGGATGCCCCCAACCTGAGCTGACTGTGAAGTGCAGGCTGGCCCCATGCATCCTCTCAGTGCTGACAGCACCAGCTTCCCTCCCCAACGGCTGCAGCAGGACGGCAAGGCTGAGCCCGCCCAGCTTCCCTGGCATTGATTTGGCTATCTCCTTGCTACACAGTAGCTCATTTTCACTTTGAAATTTGCTTGCACTGAGGCCCGCTACCCCTTGCTCAAAGTTTGAGTGGCACTGGCTGGTAATACCTGTGGAAGGGATTCTGAGAGTCAGGCAAAACATAGCACTGACTTCTCCTTTCTGTTCTCAGGTAGCTGGGCTGAGAGTGTTCCTGACTGGCGATCCACTGGCACGGAGGCTGCAGATATGCATTTGCTGCTCCATCTGCTGCCGATCCGGTCACGGCACGAGCACTTGGGAAAGAAGCAGAATCAGTTAGAGTAGGAGATGGTGGGGAATACCAGCTTCTCAATGCTAGGAAAAGACTGTGGTCAGGCCGTGGTGAGTATTAGGGGATGTTTGGGAATCGAAGTAATGCGACTTCACAGAATTGGCATAGCAGCCCCAGTGTTTTGATCTCAGTGTCTCCTTCTTGCATGTATGTGCTCACCATTATGCTAAAATAGTTCATCCTACAGCCTGGAAAGAGAGGGTAAGCTTCCTTCCAAAGTCTTACCTGTGCCCTTCTGTCCCCTAATCTATTCTTCCTGTGACACCGGGGTGACATCTGGCACCTGGCCAGCAGCACAAGGCTGTTCTGGGCTGCTTTCTACAGAATTGCCTCGTGCTGACAGCCTTAATTTGGGTAGTAGCTTGTTACAAGCAAAATGACATGCCAGCCATAAGCGGTAGCTGCTAATGTGCTACTCTGCTCTGCTGGGAAGGAGGAGCAGTGTTTCCTCTAGGAGGAGCACTGTCCCAGCACATGGAGGCGTTTGTGAGATGGACACAGCACAGCACAGTGACTTCAGGACACGTGTGCATCTCAGAGCGAGAGTTTTTCTTGTCCCACTGGGCTGAGCAGGCAGCTTCTGTCCACACCTGTAAATACAGCTCTCCCTCCCTCAGAACTCAGTAGCAGTATTTCAGCTAGGCAGCGCATGGGACTGAGTGAGAAGCTGTTGTCTTCAAAAACTTACCAAGTGGCTTATTTCATGTATGAAACATATGATGTAGCATATCATGGGAGCTAAAAGGATGCAAACGATGAACGCTTTCATGATGATACCTATATTCTGTCTGATCAGCAAATGTTTGCCATTTGTGGATGGAATTCTCTCTAAAATGAGATAACAAAAGAATATTTGAGACATGATGCAAGTCTTTGACCATTCAGTATCTTCATTTTGGTGAGGCTGGGCTGAGTACATTGGGTTGAGCAGAGCAACAGTGCAGGGTCTCCTATCGGCTGTCAGTGGAAGCTGTACATCTCTCTGGAATCTCAGAATCTTTTTACTTGAAAATATTTCAGTTATCTTTCAGTTGCTGAGAGCTCCCCAGAAGCAGCTGGTAGGTAAGTGCTGTAGAGCACTGTGGAACTTCCTGCTGAAGGCCTGTGAGGTTTTTAAGGAAAGCTAGGAGCCCTTGCTTGAACATGGATGAAAGTCAGTACTTAAATATTGATTTCTTATTACAGCTGTGGACTCACAAGGGACCTGGGATGATATATTGGGTCAGTGTAGTTATTCAGAGAAATTACTGCTTGAGAGGAGTCAGGCTGAGCTGTGTGTGTGAAAGGCACTACCTCCTACCATCCTTACACCTACCATTACACTGTGTTTGTGGCTCAGCAGGGAGAGCTGGCACCTACCTGGGGAGGTCTGCTGCTCTGGGTGCACACGTGGGGTAGATGAGCCATTGGAAAACACTTCCTGCTTGAGTGGTGTTGCTGTTACGGTGTGATTCGAAATCACTGCCAGAAAGACTGGAAATGACAAATAGTGACGCTAGAGATTTGTTTGAACTGAAGAACCTGAAGCAGCTGACAGGAGGTGATGCAGCACCGGCAGTTTGCAGTACCAGAGCCACGGGGCGTTCTGCCATGTGACATTTGCCAGTGTGCAGAATTTTCCTTCTGTGTTAATACTGGAAACTATATTTGCCAGAATCTCCTGTCTCTTCCAAAAGAAGGGAGAAAGAAGCGTGGAATTGTTCCCAACATGAACCTTTCAGTACTGTTAACTCTGCACCATTACTCTCTCCTTAGTTTCCATTTCTTTGTTTGAGAAGGTACAAATAATTTTTAAATAACCACTATCGTATGAACTATATGAAAATGAAGACTGCTATCCTTTCATATACTTAAACAGACATTTGTTACACTGAACTTTTTACCTTTGCTTCTGAAAATAAATCTTCTACGGAACTGCCTTCTCGTGGATGTCTGTAACACACAGGTGCGGTTGGTTCCCCCGGCTGTGCTGGGGACGACCTGCAGGCTCTCCACAGTGCAGCCCTCTGCTACCCACTCTGTCAGATCTCCGTGCATCTTCTCCAGCTGCAGCAGATTTACTTGCACAGAACTTTGATGACTAAAGCATTTCAGAAATGTGACTTTATGGTTTCTGCTTAATGTCCCTCTGGTTTCAGCTATCCCAGGGGCTGGAAAAAGATAAGAGGTAAATGTTAGTAAAGGTTTCTCTTAGTTTGGATGAAGTTCCTCCCATGAGAGGTTCGAGCCAGCAGTTAGCTGTGAGGGATGCAGTGCTGTAGGGAATCTGCACAGACGGCTTGGTGTTAGTGTTACAGTGTGGAGAATTCAAGCAGGTTCTCTGTTCTTATTTCTGTTGTTATTCTGTATGTTGGACCACCCAATGCTCAAGTGTTGCAGTGTTACATTCCCAAGGACAACCTTGGCACCAGCTAACCTTACAGCAGCCTAGCCTGCTGTGAGCAGCTCCCTGATTAGTGGTCAGAGGCCGACCTCCTGTTTGGGGTCCCTGTTGCCCTGTGGTCTCGTGCTGAGTGGGAGCTGATGCCCTTGGCCCCAGCCACTCGGGTGCCAGGAGCTGGGTGCAGGTACCCTGCTGTGATGAGGCAGGGGCAGCTCTATCCAGTCCAGCTTTGCAGTAAATCCTGCAGTAACTTTGCTTTCTTTGCTGCAAGAGTTGGCTGAAAATTTCAGATGTTGCACATAATGATTGCAGGCAAGTGACACTAACCCACCTAAGGTTATTGTTATGGTCTCTTTGGTTTCTAGTGATACAGAGCTAGAATTCTGCATGACCTCTGTAATCCTTTTTGGCCAGGTGGCTGGGGAAGAGCTGAGACCACAGAAAAGGCTCACCATACCCCTGGCAGCTGTGACAGCTCTCCTGCTCATGGGCTCTCACCTTGCAGGAAGACATCCAGGTTTCGCACGCGGCCGGCTGCCCAGGCGCTTCCCACGTGGCATCTGTAGTCCCTGAGGTCTGCAGGGAGCAAAGTGAGGGATGAGTGCCTTCAAGCTGCGATGCAGTTAGGTCAGTACTACCCTCTTTTTGGTAACTAATTTTCAACATCAACGTTTTGCTGGCAGCAAAAGTGCTAGAATCTGGGGAGCGTCAGTGCATTAGAGACTTTGTTGAGCGTAGAGATTCAATTCAGCACAGTAAAGTGACAAAATATGTAACATGAGCAATGAATATTTTTATAAATTTCCTGCAAAGTCAATATTCAGTTAGAACTTGCAGTTATGTGAGCAACTTACCTTCTCTGATAAGACTCTTGTGCACTATCACCAAGCTGAGTATTAATAGTGTGACCATAATTGCGCCTGCTCTTCACAGTCTTGAAGCAGTTTTTATCTTTACTGCTTTCTCTGAGCTGTAGTACAGGTGTTTAAGCAGATACTGTGCTGATAAGCAGAGCTCCTGGAACAGCTCTGTAATCATATATTCCTGGTGAAAACTGTATCTTTACAATGGTTGACTCATGCAGGGCTTAAAGTGAATGTCTTAATTCGTAATAGGTTGTATGAATTTCTAGTTCTGAGCCAGTCCAGCAAAATGTGGACTTTGGTAAGAAATAGACCCGAAGGAAGCCTTCTGTGTCAGTCAAGCTCCCTTTCAGTCGGTTCGTCCCAGGTGAGGTGTGGTCCTGAGCACAGATCTCAGGGCTGCACGCTGCGAGGGGTGATGCTGGTGTGTGGAGCTGGGAGAGGGCACTGGGCACTGGGCTGCCTGGAGACGCTGGCTGCTAAGGGCTCAGCTGTTCTAGAAGCCAACAGAACCCTCACCTCCAGCCCAGGCTCTTTGTGACTTTGGATGTTGATGCTAAGGGCTGCAAATGCTTAGGAAAGGGTGGGAGCCTGTGCTTGCCTGCTGGCCCTGGAGAGTGAAACCCCACAGCTTATGGGGCAGCGAAGCCCAGCAAATCCTGCAGCCAAAATGGGTGGGGAAGCCTGGCCAGAGTGCAGCTGTAACCAGAGTCCTGGTGAGATTGCTGCAGTCGCAGGGTGGATTGGTTTTGGACAACTGGCATTTTCTACATTAGTCAAAAGATGGCGATGGAAATAATTTCTTTCTCCAAAGTCCCTGGCTTTTAAGTGCTGAATAGCACAGGTTTATGTCCCCGATCACAAGAGGAAAGGTAGACTGTTTTTGTTGAATCTGAACTGACCCGTGGTGTTTCATGTGACTGATAGCCCAGAGACTTGAGAAAACTGCTAAATATTTTCCTCAGGTGCCGAGTTTATTCATAAGTGACATCCAGTTACCATCAGCTGAAACTACACCCATCATAAAGGATGACTATAGAATAAATATGTCATTCACCATTGTCCAGTGTGGAAAAAAAACAAGAGTCTGAATATTCCTGAGAGCTACAGCCCCCAGCCCTCCCACCTAGAGCACAGTATAAAGAATATGAAGTTGCAAATCACCGTTTAATCAGCAGTTGCATTCATCTTTTATCTTGGAAATAGTGTATTCATGCAAATAAAATGAAATGTTCGCTCACTTCTCTGCTTGTGAAATGTTGTGCGTAGATGTCAGGGAGATCTGCCAGGATCCTCTGCAGAGGAGGATTTCATCATCTTGTCAATGAGTGTGTTCTCACTCGGTGCATCTGAGCATGTGTCTGTAGTATCCGTGGTGTTTGCTGGGGAGGGTTTTTGATTTGGATAAGAGAATTCACGTCTGTATCCCCTTTTAAAGTGATATTTCCATGCTTGTTAATTTTTATGCAATGTTCCCAAGATAGAAATCACTAGGAATCCAGTGTTTCTCAGCCTTGTAAATAAAAACTCAAAAGTATTAAAAAGAGAAGTAGATTTTAAATCATTTCAAGCAACTAAATGTTCATTTTTAATGTGGCTGCCTAATGCTGTTGCTAAGTGTTCCCATCCCAGCACTTGGTTTCACTCTGTGATTCTTTCTGCTGTTTCCTTGGGCTGGAGTTCTGGCACAAGCCTAACTGCAGATTTGCAACACATCTTAGGACACTTCCTGAAACAGTGAGAGAACTTAGGGCCAAGGACAGCACACCTTGTGGACCGAGTGAGCCGGCAGCTCAGCCTCCAGCCAGAGGCAGGGTTATGGTTATCCTTGAGAACACACAGCTGCTGCCACTGCGAGGGTTCGTGTTTTGTTTCCGATGTTTAAAATCTTCTGCAAATAGCTAAAACATGATTTTGCTTTAAAAAGCAAATCTGACCTTTTTCTCTGCTCCTCGCCTGCCAGGAAGCAAGCTGTGCCAGCATGCATGGCCTCAGCACCCCCTCACCTGGAATGATCCCTCTGGTGTGTGCGTGGTGATGTTATCAGAGCCTGGGGAAGAGCCATGGAACCCTGCTTTGGCCTCATGGAAGGTAAGAACGTTTTCCCTGTATTTTTTTGGAAAATGGTTTACTTGCATTATTAAGGGTGTGATTGCTTTTTTGAGAATCTGAGGAGGGGTTCCACGTGTGAACAGTGCATGCATTTATAAGCCATGCAAACTAAGGTGCTAGGTCCCAGGTCTGAACGTAGTGGGAAAAGGATGTGTGTCTAGACAACACCCCCTCCTCCCAAGGGCCTGAACTGTGGTTACAATTCTCTGCCGTTGCAAAGTGTCTGAAATTTGTGGAACACTGTGTTCATATTATTGCTGTCCACAATTTGAAGCCTTGAACGCTTTTTAGCCAGTTCAATCTAAAGTTATAGGAAATCTGGAATGCATTTCTGCTGCTATAGAAGTCCCAGAAATTTCACTGAATGGCCTAAAAGCAGGTTGTGATTCAGCATGGCAAATCATTATTGCTGGGTGCTCCTTACCCTGCACTGTATTACCCCTAAATCAGTTACTGCAGTTCCTCCCAGATGGCATTTCTTGTGAAAAGTCTCCCAGCAGTGCTTCTCACAATGAAGAGCAGTGAATTGCCGCTGGCTTCAGTGGGAAGGAACAGCTGTGAGATATAGAAAGTCCAAAGCTTTTATTTGCTTGTGCCCAGGTGGCATAATTTAATATTTGGGGAGGTACTCTGTGCTGCATGTCTGCCAGCGGGCTGCTGGCGGCTGTCCTGGTGTGGGATGTGTGTGGGGATCCGTCTGTGGAAAGGCCACGCGTGGCTGTCAGAGGTGAATGAGCTGCTGCTGGGAGGGTGGCCGTGGGCTGCTATTCCTGCCACATTCCAGCAGCACTTCTCAAATCCGTGCTTGCTTTTTCATGTTGATGTATTTCTTGCTATTTTCTTGCATTCTTTTCTCTCTTTGCCCTTGAACCAGAGAATTGCTACAGGATTTAATGACATGTAGCAATCACTCCTCCAGCATATTTGGATAGCATTTATTAGCTGAGGGATGACGTGGGCAGGGCAGAGCAGTTGCAGGTTATGGCATGACCGTGCTCTGAGAGCCGGGATGAGCCAAGCGCCGTGGTTACCCGGGGTAGGCAAGGCTGCGTGTAGCTGCTGTCAGTGCTGCAGGCACTGCTCCGTGCTGCCATGCTGGGCACAGCACCGTACGCTGGGGCCATCACCGTCCTTTGGTCTGCTTCAGAAGCTCTCCAGTTTGTAGAAAGGTTTCTCACGCAGCAGCCGGGTCTCCGGGTGTGCACGCAGCTACCCGGCCCGCCCCGACAACGGGACCTCGGAGCACAGCAATTAGTGCTCCCCCCGCACGGCAGGGCGCGGCAGTCAGAGGGCACTTCTTCACCGCGTGCTCCCGCGGCCGGGGGGCGCGCAGGGAGGGTTCAGGCGGGGTTCGGCCGGCCACCCGTGCCTGAGTGGCGGACGGGGACCGGGCCCCGCAGCCCCGCAGCAGACTCCCGCTTCCACGCGTGAGGACGCATCGGGGCTGCGCTGCACTCAGTGCATCTTCGGGGCCTCCGGCCGCGGCGCCCCGGATCGCGCGGCGCGGGAAGGGACACGTGTCCGAGGCACCGCGAGAGGGGGAGCCCCCCTCCGCCGGCAGCCAATGGACGCGCAGCGCCGCGCCGCTCAGGCCATCGGCATCTCCTCATTGGCCACGCCCCGCGGGCGCCGCCCGATTGGTCACGCCCCCCGCTTCGCGCCCGCCGCCGGCCAATGGGAGCGGCGGACGGCCGGGCGGCGGGAGGGGAGGGGTTAGAGGTGGTTGACCCGAGGTAACCCCTCGCATCACACCACCGCGGCGGCTGGGGGCGGGGCCGGGCGGCGGGGGGCGGGGCCGCGGGCGGGACGGGGGGTGGGGGGGCGGTGCCGCGCCCCCAGCACCGCCGCTGCCCTGCGCCAGG